AGAGCATGACATGAATCGTTTAAAATGTGAAATAGATTCGATGATATGTACATACTATACTACACAATATATTTGTACCAGTGTACCGAAATTTTAAATATTTAATTCATATTAGACCTACTCGCCAATCGCCATACAAAAACGTTCAAGAAACATAGTTGTATACCGTATTATCCCTTAAAGGTGTCTATCAACCGTTTTTAAGAGAATACCCAAACCTTTTTATTACTTTATAGGCTACAACATACTTCAAACATTCCTAATTTAAATAAAACCAGATTCAAGTATCGTCCAAGTCTACTGGGAATAATTACAGACAGATCTCATGGTATAGCAGACACTTACAGTAAGGGTTCAAATTTGTAAGTTGGTTTTAATAACAGAAAATGTTGAAATTGAGTGGTATTGAGATTGCTACTATATTACTGAATGACGTCATTAAGTTTCAATCCATTCTTGTGCACGAAATTTATACTAGAAACACATCTGCTCCTGATTCCTCTTCCCAATCTTGAACTCAAATACCTTTTACAATTAGATTACGCCTACTTTACTTTCCAGAACTCACTTTTTACGAATAATTCTCTGTTTATTTTTATCATCATCTGCATTCTCAGCATGCTTCAAGAGGTCCCGGTCTCTCACCCTAGATCTGCTCTGGTAGGCCTACCAGGTAGCGTATTCCATATAGGGTTGGATTTTTCAAGTCTCCATCGTTTGACACAAATGTATAGCTGTCTCAGCTACTGTTGATTTTCAGCTTAACCATAAAGAAAATCGGGTTATTTATGAAGTAGCCTACCTTTCTTTGCAGATACGAAGCGCTGCACCCCACATACCTAGGATTTAAACTAAAAACAGTTCCGAAAAAGCATATGCGCTATCGGTATAAGTATTCAGAACAGGGCTCCACCCACCGATGTCGAAAACAACGTCGCTGTCACGGTGCACAGGCACTCCGTTAGGCAGTATTCTGGGCTCCGGTAGCTTCCACCTCAGAATTAGCCCTCGCCTCTACTACCGTGCACTGCAGAAGACAATTGACGCTGTCTCGAGTAAGGAACAGTTGGGGCCCAGCTCTGGACACCTCACAAACGATAGCAAATGCATCATTATTAAAAAAACAAAAACAAAATAAAAACACCCCAGATGAAATAAGGAAAAACATATCATGCAAAGTTCAGAATCATAAATAAATAATGCAACAATAAATGAAATAAAAATAAAAATTAAGACAATTAATTAAAGAGGTGAGTCTTTAAGTTAGACCTAAAGACAGCCACAGATGGTGAAGATCAAATGTGCACTGGAATGTTATTCCAGATGGGTGGCGCCTTGCTATACAATACGCTTGTTAAATATGGGTTGATGAAAATTAACGTCCAAAGCTGATCTGGTACGAATTTGCTTTTTACGTGCAAGTAAATAGTCAAAATATATATTGCGGGCTAGACAGTAACTTGAATGCAAGTTTATTATTTGAAATAAACCCTCTGCTTAAAAGGCAACAAGTGAAGTTCACGGAGAAGATGTGATGTGTGCAGCACTGGATGTGTGAGTACGAGAGGATCGTATGTTAAAAATTAGACGTGCAGCAGAATTTTAAAATAAATGAGCTCCTGAAACAATAACATAAAAAAACCCAATGATTATATAATTAATTGTATCCAAGGGAAACATTTTAAACATTTATTAATATCTTGTATAATAATAATAATAATAATAATAATAATAATAATAATAATAATAATAATAATAATAATAATAATAATAATAATAATAATAATAATAATAATAATAATAACAATAATAATTTAATGACGGTGATTAATGATTAACAGTTGTTATTTAAAATTCTCCGGACGTCAAAGTTATGTTCTCTATCTGTGTTTAATTTCACGAAAAACCATTTCTCTGGTTGAAAACGTCTTTCATGACCATTTCCTGGCAGCAGCTAATTCATCGTCAATAACTCATTTTGCAATGAGCACAATCATCATAAAAAAAACCAGTATTTATAATCATCATCAGTATCACCGTCGGCATTCATTATTATAATTATAATGATTATTATATGGGTTTGCCAATAAGACATTCACGAAAAAACCATAATAATGAACAGCGCCATTATTCATCATCATCACTTGAACTTATATTGTCACCATCATCATGAGATCAGCAGCAGCAGGATCATGATAAATAATAAATAGGCCTATACATAATGATCTTAAACGGTATCGTCCTATAAGTATCACCATCATACTTTCCGTAATCGTAGCCACAATCATATTTATTACCATCGTCATCATCACCATCATCATCATATTTTTATCATTACCATTAACTCAAAAATCAATGATAATGGAATAATTTGCCTCACTAAGTGGTAGTCTAGTGCACACAAGTCTCAATTAACATAAAACCAGATGGTTCACTGATTAGTTTCAAATACGAAAGAATAATAGTCGAACGATTGAATGCCAGCTTGAATACATGTATTTCTTTTCTTGGAGAATTATTATTTTAATTAGGCTAATTGTAAGCAGTTTCCTCTAGGTAGGAATAGGATGTACTGGTAGTTTAAGTAACACATGTTTAGTTTGTATATTTTGATAAGAATATCGATTCCGAAATAAAGGTTCATTGAAATAATTATCATCCCCGTCATCGTCATCGTCATTTTAACATAAGTTAATTAGAAAGTGGGAATGGCTCGTGCTATTCTGGCTACTTTACAACCATCAGATATTTACCAAGCAGTTGTGATCTGTCTATCTAGAACAAAATTTAATTATAGTCATAGTAATGACAGTAATTTAAGACGTGTTTGACCAGTCAAGGCAAACAGATCCTCCGTGAAAACTAGACTACGCTACTGGGCCGAAACTGAGAAACTACACTAATCGTTTAAGCACCGATGTATACTATGTGACTTTCGTTCGTTATACCAAATTGGTTTATAGGACTAATAACGGCAAGACATTTTTATGAGAATTATTGTAATATTTCCTTCGGACCATTTTCGTAACACCATTTTACATTAAACAAAATAGGTCGCGTAGTCATAAACTTTAGATGAATTATGTATTGCTGATGGTTATTTCCACAAACATTTCAAAAAAATCCAGTTTTATATTATAAAAGCTTCTATTATCAAATCCCATGGTGGGTTGCTCATATTTGAACGTGGAATACAGTTTATAATATATTTTATACGATGTTATAAATGTATGTCTTACCGTATAACGCTGTACCGTAATGCTTGTATTTTTAAACTTGTGTTTTGACCTGTTTTATGAAGCACTGGATTTGCCTTCAGTGTATTTACTCAATATGGAATATCAATTTATTTAGTATAATTAAATGCAAATCAAATAAAATTGTATATTAGATATATTCACGGTCCTAATTAGTTAATTACAAATTTAATCTGGAGCAACTGAAGATAATTATAAATATTACCAAAGATAAAATTATTATTATAATAACTTTTAAATATTATGATATAATTGCTGCGAAGCAGCCAATTCATATTCTTGACAGCAATTTGACCTCTGAAAAGTCATTGTTTGTCAAAAAACAAGGGCCTAAGACGACTGAAAAGCGGAGTTTCCTTCTTTCGTTCTGCCGGGTAAAAACACTCTTTGGCAGTCAACTCACCCCTAGAAAACCCGCCCTTGGAAACGTGCCCCATAAAAAAATGTACACTTCCTAGACCATGCAGTCTTCAAAATAAAAATTGTAACCTTTGGTAATCAACTACATTTTCCACATACATAGACATTTTTGAAACTTTGTTAAAAAAAACCTAAACCATAATTCACCACTATAGACACTTTTGACAAAAATGAAAAATTACGACTTTGTTACCTAATATGAGAAGTGTTCAAATATAGACAATGGGTCGTTTCTCATATTATTTCAGTGTTATATTTTTATTATTCATTATTTTCACTTGACTCGCATAAATAATTTTGTTCGAAGAATATGTATATGCAGTTGTACTTCGCAGCACTTCACTTGCAATTTGCAATTTCTAGTTATAATATTAAACCGAAGAAACTAATTAAATTGTTTGTCCAAATCTGCTGTAGGCCTACATAAGCGAAAGTGGCATAGCGCCGATTACAATAGTTTTCTGTGTCCGCGATTAACTCTGAGATAACAAAATAAATATTTATAGATAGGTTACAAGATTGTAAAAAAGGGAAAACGAGTCAAGGCCGTTTGCAAAACATCTTATTTGTAAAAAAAATTGAGTAAGAAAACTAGCTGAAAAGCAAATTCATCAACTTGGTAAAAATGGGAACGTATAATTTATACAATGGCGTCACATAACAGCGCCCTCTTATATGTATCTTTTAAAATAGAAGTTCTACATGTTAATGATTAAAAAACCCAGCATGACATAAACCCAAAGGTTATGAAATCATTTCTATGGATTTTTCCGCTACACCATGCTTCTTGGATATCGTTACATTGTAAAAACACACGTGCGTTTAGTGGGACAATACGTGTGTCTGTGAGGCTCGCACGTATTTCTGGCTCTGGTCTGATTGGTCAATTTTTAAGCAAGTTTGATTAACACTCAGGAATGGTCTATTACATTACAAGTGAATCTCGGGTTGCCTTCTTTTCGATGTCTGTGATTGTGTTTCATGGTCTCAACATACGTTTTTCGTCACAAATACAACGACCCCCGATCATTATGAAGGTGTCATAACACATCATCATACCCATTATGGAAAAGGTAATATGACATCATCAAGCCATGGGCAAAATTCTCAAGAAAACCCTGTACGCGTGGACAGAGTATTAACATGTGCCGCGTCAGCCACCATGTGATAACATTTTGGTGATACTGATTGGTCGGTCGAATCAGAGAGTCTTCTGATTGCACTGAAAACAGTGTAGCAATTTTAGGGAAACCAGGCTTTAGTTGTCGAAAATAATGTTGTTACTGTTGAGAATTCATATTGTTTATTGCTTTTTTTTTACAGGTTGGTGCTGGTTGAACTCACATCTGATATACCTTCTGATTTAATTTCCAATCTACATTTTATTGGATATAAGCACTATGGATGCAAATAATAGTCAAACGGAAGCCGAAGGATGGGATGGTGCGAAATATAAGAAACTCGATATACTTGTAGCAGTTGTCTACGTCATAATTTTTATCGTCGGGATGTTTGGTAACTGTTCCGTGTTCATTACCATTGCCTGCAAGCAGGGCATGCGTCAAGCAACAAAAGCGCCCAACATCCTTTTGGCAAGCCTAGCTCTGAGCGACTGCATATACTTACTGATAAATACGCCTGTTAGACTTTCTGAAAAGCTTTTCGAAAAGAATCTTGGTAAAACAAAATTTCTGTGTGGCTTTTTCACATCGATTGGAGTTTTCTCTCAAGGAATATCTGTATTTAGTCTAGTTATACTTAGTTTCGACCGATACAAAGCCATCCTGAGTCCATTACAGCATCGCCGGTGGCAGACTACTAGAACATATTACAGTACGGTTTTTGTTTCATGGAGCCTAGCCATCGCTTTCGCATTTGGAGCAGGAAGTCTTTCAGAATTTGAGAGGATTCAGTATAAAGAAATCGATATGTTTTGGTGTCATCCTTTGGACTCATACAGCATGCAGTCTAAAATTTTCGAAATCTCCAGGGCCATATTCATGTTCCTTTTTCCTATGACTATTATCGCGTATTGTTACGTCAGTATTTCATGTCATCTTTGTTCCACTGGCAGATTGATAAAAAATGAGACAGAGAATAAAAAGATAAAAAAACAACGTGTGCGATTGGCCGCTATCATTGCAACCATGGCTGTTGCGTTCTTTATCTGCTGGTTCCCATACATTTTATATAATCTTTTGCACCAGTTTGATCGCATTAGTGAAACGGGAGCAACTGCTGCTGGGTATTTTACACCATTACTTGCATGTGCAAATTCTTGCATTAATCCAGTGATTATCTACTTGATTAGTCGGGAGTTCCGAAGTTACATATGTGGCTATAAATTTGGTCATCAAAAAACTGCGACACCATCTGTAGTTGGATCATCGCGATTTGCCAGATCTACCATAGTTTCTTCGGTACGTGATGAGTCTCCACGTCGGATCGGCAGTGTCGGCACTGATAATGACACCATAACCGATAATATGTAGTGAGCATTACAAAAGACATTATAGGTTCGCTTAAAGCCAGAGTGATCTGCTACTATAACTTGCAGATAAACAGTAACATATAAGCCAATAAACAGCTACTGTAATTGGCCTTTAAGTAGATATTTTATAAACTTAATTCAATTTCCAGTTAATTAATTAGAATCATTGTTGTACTTAAACGCATGATACTGTATGTGCAATGAACATTGTTATGATGAATATTGATTTGCTCAAGATAAACGAATTGATCTTCTTGTTTTATCAACAGTGGAAATTCTTAACTGGTGGAAATAGTTCCAGACACATCGGCAAAACTCAACAGTTCTCAATGACCACCAATGGTCTTCTGAAGCCTACCACCGGCGCTGAACCGTTTGCTTAGACTTAGGATGCTTATTTTAATATGTAGTTCCAAAATGTTTACGACACACTTTTGTGCCAAGTTACAGAGTCAATGGGGGGGGGGGGGGGTTAAGATAGCTAAAATTATGATACAAGCTTCATACCGCTAACAAATTGTAGAGGGACTAGAAATAGGTAGGCATAAGGGATGCCTCCGTTATATGGAAAGATACACTGGACAGACGATGGATGAACAGGCGAGCAAGAAAAGGTACCAAAGAGGCAACCGAGGTAGTGAGAGGGGTACCAGACAGACGTCGGAATAGACACAGTACTGACATACGATAAGAGAGATACCGAATATATAGAGTTACCCGAGTAATTCGTTTTCCTCTATGTACATAACACACATATAATGGTGACAATATTAATAATAATGATGATTATGATGATGTTGATGATAATGCTGCTGATAATGGTGGAATTACAAGGCGCATTGTAATAACATTTGTGTGCATCACATTGCAAAGTATGGTAGAATAATACAGAGTAAAGTAGAAGGTGGCCAAACGAGACGATATATTGGACATACGTTAGATGTACAGTGATTATGACATTAAGGACTGCGGTGGGATGTTGGTAAGGAGGTGTGGCACGCCTTTCATTCCGAGTGCAAAAATAGATATCCTAGCAACTTCGAAATACTGTATGATACAAATTCGCTACCCATGAGGTAGGAACCTCGTGACGGAAGCATCTATTTATCTATTATTTTTTGTTATCTGGTTTATGATGAATGGTATAACTGTTTGTAACTCAAGTTAAAATTTTGTAGTACCGTATACTCTATATAAAAGTGAGTAATTTTTATTGTATGCCTACATGATTAGATGTAGGCCTAAGCCCTAATTCAGAACATGAGGCCATGTGATTGTTTATAGCTTATGTACTGATTAGTGAATTTTAACTATACAGTAGAGTTCAGTATTTTCGTTGATAACGGTTTAGACACACACTAAAATGTAAATAAATTTAATAATGACTGACGTGCTCACTAGAAGAGGTGCCAAATGAGAGAAGGCTGTTAAGAAGCTTACCTTTGATTCCCCGGTCCTGTGTTCAAATTCTGTCATAGGATTTTTATCGAATGAAAAGAAATGTTACACTCTAGTGGCGGATCCCTGTCTCTTATCACCGCCACTGTCCAGGGGTGGTAAAAGGGGAAACATGCCCCCCCCCCCGCAGTTAGTAGTAGTGAAATCATTTAGATGAAAATAGCTAAAACCCTACAACAGGGAAGGTAACACGTTACCCGGCCAAAACAAATCCGGATGACTGGCGCACACTGTATCGTCGGCGCACAAATTCCTCTCCGCTCTGTGTTAGCAACTGCCAACACCAACACTGGCGCACTGAGCAAATCGTTGTTTTGCTATCATCAGCGTTGTACGACGCAGCTCGACGCGATTTATTGTCGCGTCTGGTCTGTGTGAGTTAAACGCAGACGCGATGCTTTGCGTCGGGGGCAGTCGCGTCGTAGAATATTAAACATGTTTACATTTCTCACGACGGCTCAAGACTGTCCCCGACGATGAATCGCGTCGGGCTGCGTCGTACGACGCTGTCTGAGTTAGCCTTTACACGACGCGTCGACTCAAGCTAACCAATGTCTTTATTTTTTAGGTAAACTTAAGTCTTTTAATATCAGTACAGAGGTTTTTAACTATTCTTTAAAAGTGTTATAGACCTATCGTTAGCAACTTATTTTATGGTACAGCAACTTAACTCCGGTTAACAAGCACACAATTATAAAATCTCTCGTAAAATTATCAACTCTGATGTCGATAATATTGAGGACATATACACAAAACTGTACTTAAGAAATTTGTCAATATAATTAAAGACATGTCCCATCCTATGTTCTTGCAATACAACTTTAATAGATCCGGTCGTAGGCCTACGTCCAATAAAGTGCATTACAAACAGATTAAGAAGATCGTCGTTTAATTCACATGTACAATGCTGATTTAATTAGATAGAACTCTTGTAAATATTGTATCATATTGTATATTCTGTTTTATTTATGTCCGATTATTTTATGTCTAATTTCTTTACTAATTTTGCATCGGGAAGAACAATTTTACTAGTATTTTGTTTACAAAATGACAATAAAAGAATCTTGTATCTTGCGATCTCATATAATCCATTCGGGCTGCCGGCCTAGCTCGATGCAAAGTGGTTCGGGCCTTTGAGAGTTATTTAATCAATATTGTACGTGTAAGATATTAATAAATATGTATATAATATAAACATTGCATTCCGTCTTATTTTATTTTACGTACTGTATTTATTGAAATAATGTTAGCTAAAATTGACAATAGACATAATGATGATGATGCTGATGAGCATAATGATTATGATAATTATGATGATAATAACCATAATGAACCATGGTTATTACGAATAATCAAAAACAAACAAAAGCAACATAAACAAAAACAACAACAACAACAAAACAAACATTTTTCGCAACTATTTTTGGAAGGTAGGCCTAGTACTGAGCATTCAGAACGACTACACGTAAGGTAAACTGAAATTCTCTGTCCATACACATCAGGTCAGCAGAAAATATCACTACATACAAGTCCAGACTAAGAAACATCTGTTTATCCAGCATTTCCCCCAATTAATTTTCCTCTTTTTTGCACTATATCTTCCCTAGTCTAGTTAATGGGAGGCTAATCACTAGCTATGATGACTATTAGTATGTGGCTATCTGGCCGTTCCTCGAATTTTCATTAATAAAAAAGATAACTAAAAATAATCATAAAGCAATGAGAAACTTTTGAAAATCACCATATTCTAATTCTCATCAAGAAGATAAGGTAAAAGTCCCATATTCAATTCACTAGCCATAATGACCATTAGTAGGCCTATGTGGCTATCTGGCCTCTTTAGGTATTGTTTACCGAAGCAACGAGAAACTTTTGAAAATCACCATATTTAAATTTTCATCATGAAGATAAGGTAAAAGTACAACATTGAATTATGAACATAGCTATTGAATAAGTTAGGAGCTAACGTACTAAGTCAATTTGTGAATGTCATTTCAAAAGTTGTGTACTCCAGTTTTGATAAACACGATTTAATACCAACGTACTAAGCTTCGGCATTGTGTGGTAGAGTGGTAAGTTCGTTTCCAAACCCATCCAGAAGCGATACACATACGGGGCGCCGTTTGGAACATTGCTATTTATGTCTTTAAATAGGCATTCTGTTGTTACAGAAATAATTATGTACCGCAGAATTATTACTGTCAAACTATTATGTGAACATAATTAATTCTGTTGTTACAGAAATAATTATGTACCACAGAATTATTAGTGTCAAACTATTAGGCCTATGTGTACATAATGAATTCTGTTGCTCCAGAAATAATTATGTACCCCAGAATTATTACTGTAAAAACTATTCTGTGTACAGAATGAATTATGTGTTAACAGAAGCAATTATGTACCACAGAATTATTACTGTCTAACTATTCTGTAGTACAGAATTAATTATACACTACATTTTTACACCACATATTTATTTGTTCTCACAGAAATAATTCTGTACGGAACAGAATTAATTTTGTCTATCACAGAATTATTTCTGTTCTCATAGAAATAATTCTGTACCTTCAGAATGTATTCTGTAAATCCTACACAAATTGCCTAAAAAATATGCACAAAATAAGAACAAATTGAGGCTGGAGGAAATTTAAAATCACACACAATGGATGTTATACATAGGCCTACAGTATATTTCCGCATGGAAGTACCTGGTTGTATTTGATGAAAAGAAAGGAACTATTATGGTTTACTGTTCTATATCATAACAAGTACTATCAATCAAGTATGGCACGACAGAAAACCGCAAACTTTCTTAGTATGTATGGACTTTTGATTCTGTTGGATGTTTGATGAAAACTCAACCTTCTAATTTGTATAGGCTTTACAGAATAAATTCAGAGTAGAGAGAATTATTTCTGTGGCAACAGAAATAAATCTGCGAGGACAGAACAATTTCCGTTCTGGACTGAATTATTTCTATGAGAACATAAATAATTTTGTAGTGACAGAAACAAAATTATACGTACAGAATTGATTCTGCGTACTACAGAATGGTTTGTTGACAGAAACATTTTGTGGTACATAATTATTTCTGTTAACACAGAAATCCTGTACACACAATAGTTTGACAGTAAAAATTCTGTGGTACATAATTATTCCTAACACAGAATTAATTCTGTGCACATAATAGTTTGACAGAAATAATTCTGTGGTATACTATGAAGAAAAGAGGAATAGATTTTAATACATTTCTGACCGACCGATCTTGACGACTATGGGTCAGAATAGAGTTCCTATATAGGAACTTTTGGTCAGAGAAGATGACAGCGCCCCCGGACGAATCAACAATTACCACTAATTATATTCTTAGAGTGATCAACTTGGTCTCGATTAATTATGCCTGTAGATGTGGGATCAGTATTGTGAACCTTCACTAATTATCAAATATCGTAGTACAATAAAAACAAGGACTTTTAGCTAAAATAAATTTTCGCACGGATCATTTAGTACAAACGTTTCTAAAACCCAATAAATATATAATATTAAACCTGAACTTTAGTTTCAAATTTTAGTTGGCCTTCTCAGTAAGGTTACGTCACACTCCGACAAGATAATGTGAGGTTAAAATAAGAACAAGCAGATTTTGTTTACGACATATTCAGTAGACATACGAATCTCTAATAGAAATGATACCGGTAAAAATAATAAATCCGATATTTGACTACAAAAGAAAATCTACCATGAAGTATTTATAGAGATTGTTGTATCGTGGTATTTGTAATTGCTTTTCCTCCGATACGTTGTACAGTTTAATTGCCGAGGTCACATCTGAGCAGTGATATCGTATACTAACAAGTTACAAATATGCGTCATAATATAAGAACAGCATTGCGCCGCCAGAATCCACAGGTTGATAAAGTTTTGCTTACTTGAATATTTCACTTGTGATTGGTTAATGCACAATGGTATAAGCAGTACATCTCCAACGATTGACGAATCAGAAAACTGCAAGAAACAAAAACCCTTGAGCTTCTCTAATACGGTCTCAGTCTGGACGAGAATATATTTTCTTTGGTATACTGTTGGTGGTGGTAGGCGTCTATTATCTGTTTGCCTGTGAACTATTAACAAGTTAGTATAGTACATATATAGTTTTGAGCCTTATTCACGGTAGAAAGAACAGTGCATTGGTTAAGCACGTTTTAATAAAGACGGATTTTCTCGTCAAACTTTTACCAAGTGTCTAGATGCTGTGCCACTTAATATCAATAACATTGGCCTATTGTCATTGATCGGGACTGATCGGGACCAACGGGATGCATGAAACCCCATGTGAATCAAGTTTGTCTGCCTATAATTATCTATCTCTGTTGATAAGTCTTCTCTTTTTTTTAACTTCTTAGGATGCAGTTAAGTTTTCTCTTTTGTACTTTTGTGTACTTTATTGCGATTGGATTTACCTACTCCACGGCAAGTATACAAATTATGAAGGTTGGTGACAGTATTCTTGTCGAAACTACAGACTTAATAGTTTTCTAATTAATCAGTTTAAAATATAGCTACATTGTGCATAGATAGATGATGCATCGTATACTTTTTAACAGTATCCTACAAAATTGAGTGGATAACTTAAAAGTGTTTATATTTCACTCACCACATGATTTGGTATTCTTAAAATACTCTTTCGTGGAAGCGGTTGGCGCATCGGTTGTGGCTTGGACTCCCAACTTCGAGGTTGGGGGTTCGAAACTCTCGTTGTGCAAATCGCTTGTGTCCTTGGGCAAGGCACTTTATCTAAAACGGTTGCCTCTCTCCACCCAGGAGTACAAGTGGGTACCTGGTAGGTTCGAACACAACTGCGCTGATTACTAGCTGCAATATTATGGAATTCTCCCCAGGGAGCTGAGTATGTGTTCCATATGTGTTTGATCCAATGACCGGGGTAGTAATGTGAAGCGCTTAGAGGCATTGTGCATGAAGCGCTATATAAGAGCGACATATTATTATTAAAATACTCATTAGAATGATGGACTGTAAATTGGTAGGCCTACTAAATACTGTAACATTGTATTTAGATAACAATACATTTTCAAAACAGTTAATTTATAACTTAAACTAAACACAGGATCAGTGGTGTCACAGAGTTTGTGGCAGTGACTGTTAATGGGGGCCCTAATAAGCAAGTGTTACAGCAAGTCTGCCAGCGGAGCGAGCAAACAGACGCTGGGGGCCAGGGGACCGGGTAAGGTCCCGGTGGGGTCTAAGGGATGAAGGCCCCTGGTGGGGGTCCAGTGGATGAAGGCCCTGGTGGATGAAGGCCCCGGTGGGGGTTCGAGGCGCTCAGAGCCTATGGCATTTATGAACTGTTAACTGTGTTGTCAGAGAACGTCAAATGTTTCATGACTGATGAAATATTTCAGACAATTTTATGACAAAACCAACATAGATTACATAGGCCAACTTTCGGAACTGGTATAGGCCTGCAGTGGGCCTATTTACTTTATGTGGTGTAAATAAATACAGAGAATGTTTGAGTGAGAAACAAAACATGTTTTGACAACGTATATACAATGCAAAGTAGATTGATCACAAAATATGAAACAAATGTCAAACATCAGAACCCAGCTTTTATTGTTGAAAACTGCTAGGGTCCCATTGAATGAAATTATGGTATTATAGTTTATATATTTTTTTTTAAACAACAATGTCGGGGCCGGTTGTGCCTGGGGGCCCTGACGCTCCCCCCCTTTCAGCCCCTGGGCGTGACGCCACTGCACAGGATCCAGGTGCCCTACAGAGTCTGATATGCTGGCCTGCCACACTTACTATAGGCATAGTATGTATCTAGTGAGGCAAATACCTGTAAATTTGACAAACTCTTTGAAACCTTCAAACATTTTGGTTACATTTTATTTATTTTGTTACCATATATAGCGGGTGACCATTTCGGGGCCCTCTTATATAATTGGAAAAATACTATGATTTTATCAGCGAAGGCTCTTTGTGAGGCTTAGGGAGTGGAGGTGTTTTCAGTCGTGAGAAAAAGTCCTGTAACAAGAATTGAACCCAGGACTCTGGGATTAGAAGGCAAGCATCTTTATCTATTATAAGCTCCACTCCACTTTATAAACTAC